GTGACAAGTATCGGGGGCACCATGAAATTTAGCACGAACCACGTCGATTGCCCCCGGCTCTGAGCGTCCAATCGTTTTACCCGCCCCTCGAACCGCTTACCTGTTCGATTGGTATCCCCGGATCCGGGGTGCGGTCGCCAAGCTGGCGATAATCTGTTCCGAGTCGGTAACGGATGAGTTGGAGCTCGCTCCGGATTTGCCGTTTAGGGTTTCAAGGGAGGAATTGTCGGAACAAGCACATACTCGTGAATTTAACACCTCTTCGGAAATCAGACTTCGATATCACCTTCACTCAAGCCGGGAGGTCTCTCTCCCTGGTTTTTTTTCCTCAGGTTTTCCATCCTCAGGAGGCTAACGATAAAGGAGATTTTTTTCCATTCCAGTTGGGAATCCATTGGGCCGAGTAATCTCGACTGGAGTGGACAGAATCCAATGGCTCGCTGGAGAAAGTCGAGAAACGTGACGTGTTCTACATGTACAGACCGGAGCTGCAACATAAATCGACCTCCAGATGATCTACGGCTCGCTAATCACCCGTTCGCCTTGCGGGCTGCTCCAATCGCAGGGAGCCTCTTCTACAGATACATAGCTTGATAAACAACATCGAAATCGCTGGACCCTTCGCGTACATAGCGCGAACCTGGGCGGAGGGATTGAAAGCATTTGAGGATTATCACCTGCAAGCCTCGCCGATGCCACGCTTGAGGTGAGAAATCGAGATTTTGATCCTTCAGTACGTACAATGCGAAGTATCAGACACAGGGTCGCCTGGGCGGCGTTGCCTACGGGCCGGGAGCTCACGGAATTGAACAGTCAGTTATGGGAAATCAGAGCCGTGCTCATTTTTCAGTGGTATCGGATGAGTCCCCCGAAGGAATGGAAGTTCAAATCTAGAGATTACCAGAGGAGCCCTAAGAACCGAGGTACAGAGCAGGAGCTCTAGAGGAGCCCCGGAAGGGAGCAGCGAAGAATCCGGATGTATCACAGCAGCGGGGCGATCTCCGTATCCAGAGAGGCACAACGGAGCGAAGGCTCCTATTTGATAGCAGACTTAATTCTCACCTACGAAAGACAATCATGGCATGCAACACTGTCGAAGTCTCACAAGGGAATACTTGAAACGATACATAATGAAATGAGTCGCGCCTAGGACTGTGGGAAGTGAAGAAATTCAAGGTATCTCATCTGAGTTAGCGGAACGGCTGTCGGATCAAGTATTGGTCTCATTCAGACTCAATTTTGTAAGTCTCATACACGTGAATGTTCAGTGTACTGCGGTCGTTCTAGGTAGTCTCAATCACGATCTCGATATCAGAGCCTAACTTCATAAATGTATATACTGTCGACTGGAGATGTCACTTATAGTCGATAGGTATCCATGACGTCACTCGTGATGTCATCAGCAGAGTACTGCCTTATGAATGTCTGTTGGAGGCGAGCTGCGTGAATTGTTCCCATCTGAATTCTCTTCTAGGCTGTGCGAAATTCTATGGACCGCTTCCCAAGTCGGCCGCGGTTATTGTTGCACCGTAATGTCAATTCCTACTTATCTATAACACGCTCTTCAACTAAGTTCTCCCGTTCCGAATGCTGGATTCCCCCTGGTATAGACAATTCGCATATCTTCATCATAATTATATCTTGATCGTTACCTATATCCGACTTTATGCTGGCGGTCTTGTGTTGCCCTCAGAATTTCCTTCAGAATGTCAGGCTTCCGGGAAGATCCGCCGAACGTACGATCAAGAAGGAACGCTGGTGCTCGAGAGAGTTTCCTTGGCGGTATTTCTACGGGCGGTGCCCAAACACGATTTTGGAGTTCTCATCTCACACAAATGGAAGCCTCCTGGCTCCTGGAGGAGGCTCGATTCGAGGAGAGATTCACGACGAGACTCGCAACTCATTGGGCAGAAACGACCCCACCCTTTTATGATGGCGAGGCTTATCCGATGCCCAAAACAAGTGTTTTCAGCGCCTGGAACACTGAAATTCATCCGACTTCGAGAAGCATCCTCGCACATTTTTCTCGCTCTCGCGAGAGTTGCCTCCAATGCGAACTGGGACATCTCAGGTCGATTCGTCGGTATTCTTTCCGAGAGAATTCGCCCTAATAGATACGAGCTGAACGAAAACAGGAGCCGGTCGCGCTGATGATAACAGAACCGCCTATTCCTCGATTGGGACATTTGAAATACATGGGTGAGACTCAGGTGAGATCGAGGGGCGAAAATTCTTGGAATGGAAACGCAACATTGCTTGTTGTTTTGTGGAGTTGGAGTTGGATGAGATGTATGAAAACGACGAGATCTACGACAAAACGTGGAACTATCTCACTCGAATCGGTCCTGCACCAATATATTCAGGACAGAGAGTCGAGCGATACACCGAGACAGAATCCGAAACAGCGAGCAATATCGTTCCGAACTCTCCGCTTCCCTCATTGTGATGAATCAGGGCTTCCTCGCCAGAACTCGCGCTCCTCTTGAATCGAGCCCCGCATCGGAAGGAGTAACTCCGCTGGAATCGATCCAATCCAAAATGCCCGTATGTACCGCCAAGCCTTTAATGTGAGGTATTATACATCGCGTATTGCGTCGATATGACCAGCGTGACTAAACCTGCTCGCCTCGGTGGACTCGGCTGAACAGAAACGGTTTGCGATGGCGATGGAAAAACTAAGGCATGCTCCCTTGGTTCGGCTGCATTTGACGGCGTTTCTCGCTCCCTCCATAGCATTAATATTAAATAGCGCCTCGCATCACGCTATGTGCCGTCTGCATCGAGCAGACAACAGGGTATCTCGGCCACTCGCTATCTCGAAACTGCTTGCTCTCGAGCGCCCCTCCCAGATTCATGCTAAATTCCTTCCATTTTGGATCCTCGCAACCCATCAGCTCTAGAGTTCCTTGACGGGAAAAGTCGATATTAAGTACCTGTATATCGGGGCCGTAGCGGAATCGCGACTTCCCATTATGCACTTGAGACTCCGCCAGCATTCATCACAATGTCCTCGTTCCTTGTTTTCATATTCTCCTCGAATCTTTCGGGACCCCTCGCCCGCGCTTTACATCTGAAATAAAGCTGATACTACTCCGAATCCCGTAGAGTGAGCTGAATATTGGGTCGGAGAGTCAGATTCGGAGTCTGAATCCGTGTGTGCAGGAACTATTCCGAATATACAAACGGAGAATTATGCGGCATGGCCTAAATGGTATGAAGAACTCAAAAATTAACCTCGATCCAATCGAGTATCGAGGGTCAAAGATCTCTGTAGAAGAACAGCTAGACCAACTCCCGGATCTTGACAAGCATAATTGATATTCATCAGTCGATTCGATCGAGGTAATTATGTTTCTTTCTCCGCGTTTGCTCCTGAGATAATCGAAATTCGTGCCAGAGAAGGGAGAATGATGTGCGTCGGGAGAGGAACTGATCTCCCAGCGAAAGTCGGTCCTTGGAGCTTCACGCCGCTTTTCGCGAGAGCATCATCGTCCGTGAAGGACCGGGAGGGGCAGGCTCTGGTCTCCAAGATTGGCTGATTTTCGTAGGTTCCAAGCGAGACCCAACATGAGGACTTATATCAGCCACTTCAAGGTCAGGGAAATTCGCCGGCGAGGCTCGAGGTCGGAAACTCGAGCATTTTTCGATTCACCTGGAGCTTCAGATCTGAATCAACACGTGACGATCAAGAGATACTCGATTGTATCAACGCCGAAGTATGGCTCAATCATCGAATTGGAAATCACTGCCAGGTTCAATGATCTAACATTCAGAAGGGTCGGGAGGAGCATAAAAATTAATTTCCATCTACGAGCGAGAACGCTCCGGACGGATATCGTCCGTTTTCATCTGAATCGTCTCAGGTGCTATCAGGCCTTGAACTCTCACTCGGTGTGCGTCGTTGTAATCCCCGGCGGATGACTTAGAAACCCCATCATTATACGTATGTGGGGAATCTTGATATTGTCAGGAAGTTCAGTACTTGGTGTATGTATAAGAGAAGACACTGAGTTCATTTGCATATGCCTCACGACAGTATCGGACTCTATAGAAGTACTGAAGAAATTAATTATGATATACCGTGGATTTTAGTAAGTTCATAAGTATAAGCACGTTACACATGATTGTAAAGAAGACTGAAGATTATGATACAACGTATAGTGATCATTATTCTTGGAGATTCGCTGGTGATGATGTCGAGATTTATAGCGGTCATGGGAATAATTGATGCATGAACTTAATGAGGGTCGTCGCTGAGGGATCCGACCGAGAAGGCAAAAACGGCGCAAAACGTGGTCTGCATCCGACTCTGCGTCGGAGTCACGTCGACCTGACTGTGCTGCCATACAAATCGTGTGTTCTGGAATGTCCTAATGACCTCAAGAGGAGCCGTCGAGAGATGACGATTAATATTTCATGAAGAAATTATCGAGAAAATGATGAAAAAAATAAAGCGAGTGGTTTACGTACAGGATTCAAAGAATCGAATTCCTTCATCGGTGGCATCGAATCTGTCCCCGGAGAGGTTTTTGTATCGGGCATTGACTATCAAGGTCACACGATTCAATCAGGGAATGCTCGAACGACTCGAGTCTATGGATTGATCCATCTCGAGAAGGCTATTCTTGTCGAGAGGCAAACCGGGTGGAGAAATGAGATAATGCTGGGCTCTCTCGCGGTGGGCGAGGCGACGCGGAGGGGGGAAAGGAGGATTGATGGAATTAAAAAATGTATATTCTCCGCAATCCATATTCATGGAGATATCGCTCATCGGGAGTTGATCCCCTAATAAGCATTCGTTTGGCTCGCCAGCACAAAAGAGGCCGGGACGCTCGAACACAAAACGTTCACTGATGCGGGAGGATTTGGACTTAGCTTCCCCGAAGGGTGGATAAAAAGTGCGCCCGAGATATATTGCTCGGCTCGTCGGCGGCGTTCTCAACGCGAACCGCCCCCTACCCACGAAAATTGTAGCGAAACGGAATAAGGTCACCTAACCGACAATATTCTTTATTTTGCTTTATAAATAATAATATTTCGTTTTTCCCTAGGCGGTGGCTCCCACGGTGTTTTTGCTCCGGCAAAAATCGTTCCCTGACATTTTTCCGTTTTCGTAGTGATCCTGCGATCGAGTGCCAAACCCGACAAAAACATTGTGTGTCCTGTCCGCGAGCGAGCCGCAGTAAACTGCCGCAGAGATGGAGAAGCCATCATATACTCTGGCATCGCAGCGACCGCGTCGGGATCGGGGACGACTCAGTGAGGGAGTACCCGGGGACGGGAAATACGCGTTCTATATATAATCATTTGCCTAACGTTTCTCTTCATCATTCTCACATCACAGACTCACAGCCTATGCGAGGCCGACGGAGCGCGGCTCTTCAGACGTACCATACCCCAATGTTTGCTCTATTGAAGGCATGATCCGATGTCGGCACAGCCGATCTCGTGCAGGGTGTAGAGATGCGGCGAACGAAAAAGACATGTGAATTCTCATCCGAGACCATAATGCCATGGTCTATCTCGAGCTTCCCTCAGGTTTCGGGGGAAGCGATGGCTTAGTGAAGCGAGAAGTAACAAATCAGAGCAGCGGATCGTATGAAGCAAATTAAAGCGTTAGAGCTGAACTTTTTTCGCGAAGGGGGTTTCCGATCAGCCCCCTCGTGTTTCGCTCGTTTTAATTACCTACACTAAAAAATCCTATCGGAAATTATCTTGCTGCTTTCGGTGGTCCAGGCTCAATATCTCAAAGATTCGTCTCCCAGCCTATCAGTAGAACTAGATTAAGTTGTGTAATAACAAAATAGAGGAGGGTGGACGTTCTCGCGATTGTGTTGATAATGATCACATTCTGTAATGTCTTTTTCGATGTACAGTAAATTCGCATCCATTCTCACTCAAGTCAAGCATCACGTAACGCTGGTTGTTCGCCCGCTTGCTTGCTTGCTTGCTCGCTCGGTGACCTGAACCTGTCGACGTCGGTGACCTTTTCAATCGTCTGCATACTCCATCGAAGGCTGTGACACATGTTAATAGATCACGTTCGACCCGAAATTCGATCATCGACAATTAAAGTGAATGGATCCTTCCACGGTGAACCCGTCGTTCGAAGACAGTAGGCGATGATGATGATGATGTCGAGCGGGCAACGAGTCGAACTTCAGAGCCAGACACGCTCTTCAGTGTGCGTTTGTTTCGATCGAATCAGCTAGCCATGATAACTGACGCTTCCCTATTTTGAGACGTTCGACAGCCGGTGCTTCGTCCACTCGATTCTCCTACATCTTTGTACATGAAAGTTCGGTGATCGCTTTACAGCGTCGTAGACGTCACGGGGCTGATGCCGTGGACGAGCAGGGTCGGTGGGAGATCGGCCGTCAGGATGCTCAGTTGTTCGAGATACCTGAGGCGCTCCGTATCTGAGTTATTGCGAGCGCCTTTCTGCGGCAGATAAAGGAATGACACGGCCGTCTGTTCACTGTGGTCCCGCATCATGGCGTTGCACTCCGAAAGGTATGTGTTGCTGGCGATAGGTGCGGACTCGCCCTGGAATCGGAAAGGAAAAGAGAGACCATAAGTCACGGCGCTTGCCCCATTACTAGCAGCTTCAAGCGGCCACGAAAAAAACAGAGGTCGGAACAGTAACAATAGAGCCTCTGAACGTTGAGGGGAGACTATTGGAAAATGTTCCGCTTTGATTAGGAGCCGAGGGGACGGCACGGGACGACTCGAAGATTAGACTATCGAGACGAGAATAATTGAAGTCGTAAATCGTTGCTAGCGCGGGCCGGGGCCAGAATCAGGGATGATTGCGACTTGATCGAGAATAAATAAATCCATAAAAAAGGAAAAAGCTCTTACGGGAGCCCCTGTTTGCTCGAGTTTCGCGGTCAGGTGATCGTATTTGACGGTGATGATTCGCGCATCGATCCGGAGCATGTTGAGCATGCCCTGCCAATGTCTCTGATGTCGAGTGGTGTCGTCGGTCGCATCGGCAACACACATGAAAATTCGGATGGTCGTGTGCTTCTTCCAGCCAGGCACCATGTGTAAGATGCATGACAACTGCATTATATACATCCAATTGTTGTCAATTGTCGTTACAGAGGCGTTCGGCAGGAGGAAGTCTACGGGCCATACGTCGATGTGCAGAGGAGTCGTCGAACGCACGATGGCTCCCTTGTCCAATCTGTGGAAATGGCGAGCCAAAACAACGTTCTTGCTCATGAAGTAGAGAGCATCGTCGATCATCTGCACAAACTCGATTTTGCTCAAGCGGTCGCCTTCCCCGTTGCGTAACGACAAGAAGACATCCTTCCCGATGCGAGCATTTTTCAGCTCTTCGAATCGGTGCTCGTTGAAAAAATCACTCGGCTCGGTTTCGTCATGGAATCCGAAGAGTATCGTGTTCGGTTTCATGGCTCCCAAGCCGGCGATTCGAACGAGATGATGGAGACCGTCCAGTACTGTTGGTGCCAGCGTGACTTCGACGAAGGCTTTGACCTTGATTTTGTCCAGCAGACTTAGCCATAGTGGATATTCGTCTAGAATCGGATCCGTAGGGTAGTCTTGAGGGCGTCCTTTCTTGACGTGCCCGATGACGTACAGACCAGATTTTTTCAGATCATTCGCGAACAGGATCAGAGGGAGGGCAGTCCGCGGATTAGCGCACATGAGGAGGAATTGCGGTCTCCAATACTTGACGTGGTCTTTGCGAGAATCCAGCAGGAGGAGGTATTTCCGGACCTGGATAAGAGAATAAATTCGATGCGTCAAATTTCGAACACGCTCATAGGTTCTATCCGCCGGTCAGGAAGCACGAGAGAGTCGAAAACCTTTACGATGGGGGAAATGCTCAATATCTCCCTTACCTGGTGGAAGATCAGAGCCTGGGAGATCGAGCCCCAGCGGACCGGGGGGGATCTGATGTGTAATACTATAACGAGGCAGAGGCACATGATAATCGCGATCGCTGCGTAGAGAGGCGACACCACGAACATCATGATCCCACAACCCAGCAGGCCAAAGAAAGCGGTGGTCGACGAGAAGTACTTGAAAGACGGACGGAAATTCGGCGCCGAGCTCAGATCAAGAGCCAGGCAGGCCAAATTCGTCGAGAGGTAGGAGAGTAGGAAGAAGACCGAAGTGATCTGAGCGATCTTATTCAGGGAGCCAATCAGCAGCGTGCACTCAACCAGCATGAACGAGATGAGCACAGCCACCCACGGATTCTTTCCTGGAAAAACGTATTCGGTCGTCGATTCGCAATAATTGAAACTGTAGATTTTCATCATCCATTGACCGATCAACGACGATGACGAGAGAGCGGCCGCGGCTTACCTCCCCGATTGTATTTCACGACGGGCGTCATTAAAGAGCCGAAAAGTTCGTCTTTTGCGAGGGCTTCCAACACGCGAGAACTGCCGATCAAGTTGCTGAGGGATGACGAGAACGTAGCCAGGAATATTCCGACAGTGACCATGGTTGGCACAAAGTCGATGTACTGCATGTACAGGTAGTTGTTCACGAGCAATTCCCTGCTGCAGGTTGCGGCAGTCAACATCATCAGAATCAGGTAGGTGACGAAGGTGAAACTGACGGCCGACAGTGTTCCTCGAGGAATGGATCGTGACGGATCTTTCAATTCTCCGGACATGTTTGCGCCAGCCATGATTCCGGTTACACCTGAGAAAAGAGCAAAACTCGTTCATGCGCTCGGATCTCGTGATGGATCTGCCCAGTTGATCGGGATGTGACTATGAGAGGTACCAGCTCGCAAGGCGGATCCCTTACCTGAGAACAGTACACCGAACACAATTGAGAACGATGTGATGTCGCCGCTGGTGTAGTCCACGGTGTAGTTCGAAAGAAGATTATTGCCGAATGTCGTTGCGTTCAGTCCCGTGAACAAGAACTCCCTCGTGGCGTTTATCGGTATGAGAGTATTCTCGCTGGGTGTGCCAACCATGTGTTGACCTCGGAACAGCATCGACACAGCGACCGAGAAAGCCACGGCCATAACTCCCCCGAAAATCACAACAGTTGTCTTCGCGAAGAGAGCGGCTCCCACAAGGCACACCAACACGTTCAGCAAGTTGATGCAGGATCCGTAGAAGAGTTTCCAACCAGCAGACTCTTCGAGGATGGGCAAGACTTGTCCTGGGGAAGGGGAGCATCATTTCAGTGAGGGAATCCCAAGCGACTCGGCAATAGAAGAGAAAATGAAGAGAACCGCGGTACTTCGGGGATGGAACCATCCGTCGGAGAAAAGTAGGTAGGTAGGTTTGGTGATACGATAGGTAACCGTAGATGCATTGCTCACCTGTCGGGCCGAAGTTGACAAGAATACCTTCGACGCACCCCGTGATGTATAGACCGGAGGAAAATATGTTGGCTATGAAGAACAATGTCCCGATGGATCCTCCGAATTCCGGACCCAGCGCGCGACTTATCATGACTGCAAAAGGATGGGATATCTACATTGATTGAGACCAAAGCTCGGAATATAGCCCTTGATCTGCGACACGGAAGGCTTTCGGGATGAGTCACGTATAGGTGTCTACTTGTGCGAGAGGAATCTAAAGCGACTCACAGTAGGCACCTCCGCCCTCGACGGCACCATTTGTTGAAACCGCGCATATGGAGAGTACTGTGAATACGAGAACTCCGTACGCCAATACCATTTCCACGATGCATTCAAGGAGACCGGAATGCCCGATGAGGAAACCTAGAGGAATGAGATAGTTTTTTTTTCAAACAGGCTGCGATCCAATCCGTGCGAGAAGCTACTCGATAGAGGCGACCGGATCTATCTTCGACACTGTACGAACCTATACGTAAGAACAATATTGCGCTGAACATCGAGAGGCATACTGGAGTGAAAACCCCAGAAAATGTGTTGAGTCCCCGGGCGGAGTCCGTTCTTGAGTCGTCGGCCATGGCGACCGACGTCGAAAGCGAATCTCCATTGGATTGTGGTGCTCCAGAGAGCGATCTGCAAACCAAGCGACGGACATGAGTATTCAGCTTAAGAGAATTCGACCGGGACTCCGGATCGCACCGCGAGCATGCCGCGAATCGCACATCAACCACATAGGAAAAAAATTGAAAGATCCAAGTCCAGTTTAAGCTTATACATATAGGGTGATTCGTTCCCAGGGCAGAAGGGCCCACTCACAAAAGTTCTTCTTCATCCATGGCTTTCTGTAAGGGAAGAGAATCTCGGCGGTGGCTCCAGGGATGATTCAAACAACGCCCATCAGCGATTCTCTATGACTTTTCGAATACCGCGCGGGTAGATCAACACGGCTCTATCATGTGATGCTAGAGACTCGGACAAGTGTACGATCCTTATTGTCCGTCAACAAAAATCAAAACCCGACGCATACCACAGCTCTCGAGATAAGACTTGATCCACCGGGTTCCCTCCGGGTATCACGGTAGGCCTTAAAGCGCCGGCCGACCGACAATCCTCTGGCAATCTCGGAAATTTCAATGAATTCAGGATCGATGCGGAAAAGATGTAGATCAGCCCCTATGATGCACAGAGATGTTGTACTCTCAGCTTGAAATACCGCAGGGATGAGTAAGAGCCCTCTGACCGGGACCAACTCTAGCTCAGCCACAACCCGCTCCACTTATCTCAACCTAAGGTATTCGTATTGTTCGTTGTTCGATTTCAGATGCGTATGAGAGGACTCTCAGAGGGCTCTGCCGCCTTAGGAGGCATCGCTCATCTTCAAATCATTAGCAGAATCGAGGAGAGCACTCAAGAATCGATTTCCTCTTCATTCAAATCTGCAGCTCAGGTGGCTGGAACACTTCCGTACGTCGCGATGAATAAACAAGAGAGGAATCGAAGGAGCTCACAGCCTCTCGGGAAATCATAAACCCAGTCATTAGATTTCTTCTCTCCATTCAAGACGGGCGCACATTCGATTCCGACCATATAAATATGCGCGATAATTTACGCTCTGATCTCCGAAGCTGATCCAGTCTCGCCTGGGGACGTCTGTCACGTCACCCGGGAAAAGACACATGACACCATGTAGCGACTACCGTTTCCAGCCTCATGGCGGTCGGGAATCATTAGAATAGAGGCACGTTTATTAGGCAGCAGCGATACGCAGCCGACACAGCGAGAATGACGTAAGTCGGCGCAAATCGTCACTTTGAACAGAAAGAGCGCTCGGAACTCACTTTGGCAGGAAACCAGTTTGAGGAACATCGCCATCTTCTTGCATGCGATTGTATTCCATGACGGGCGCTCCTTGTTCCTAGGGGGCCGATCGAGACACCGACCGCTCTAGGAGCTTCCGCGGATCAGCTGAGGACCCTGTGAGTCACAAACGTCAAACGACAACTGTCATTCACTCGAACAGTTGAAAGAGATCGTTGGCGGAAGTGAGGGGAGAACTGCTGACGTACACACGGCTTCCTCTTTCAGTCAGAGATTAAGTTTCCACCTTTGATTCTCCGGGATTCCAACAGTCTTTCCAAGCTCCTCCGGCTGTATCGATGAGCAGCAGCCCATACCAGCAGGGCCAGCAGCCGACGAATAGATGGAAGGGGGAGAGATACGTTCGACGACGACGGGCGCGACAGAGGAACAGCAGACAACATTCAGCGCCACCATCGACTCGATGCTCCATGCGGCGGGGAAACCCTACGCGACGTCTAAAGGCCAACTCGCGGGTTGGCCTGTGACAAACGTTTATGCACTCATTGGCCGATCAAGCAGGCAAAGAATTCAATCTATGCCGCGCGATCCCGTTGGGGCCAGCATCGGATGAACACCTTCGGGTTGGCAGAGATATTTTTCTCTCTCCGTGAGGCCGACGTTTCCCCTTCTACCTTTGACGTACTCTACTCTCATTCAGGGCGAACGGATGGATTACAATAACGTCTTCGCTGCATGTCGACGGGCACCGAAGAGGCCCGAACAGACATCTGCACCTCATAATAGCGACTTCGGATTCCATGAGACACCTCGCGAGAACTTCAGATCTCGCCTGCAATGACGCATTCGTATCCGATGAAGCCGCGATACATAGTTGAGGATCCGGTTCGAAATCGCGCAACGCGACCTGGAAACGCATCCGAGAATGACAAAGCAGGGAGCCTCCAGAATCTCTTAGATTCATGCGAGTTGAGCTGACTCAGCCTTCGCCCTCAAGCTTGCCAGAGCAGCCGCGGGAGCTCGTGGATATTTTTCTTGATTGTTGCCCTCCTCCCCCACACGATTGTCCTGATGATTACTCAATGATTACCCGAGGATCGAATTTCCGACTCGGGTAGATGACACTCATGATATTGGTAAATGACCCGCATCGCTGCTGAGATTTCTCCGGAGGCACAGTCAATGAATTGTACTCACGTTAAAGCTGTGGATTCTAAGATTTCAAGAAATTCTCTGAAACTCTCCGGTGAGGGAAAAACACACCACCTTGTCTACCTGAGATAAAGCTCTTCGGAGCCTGTGGAATCTGTCACCACATATTGATCGATGGCGAAACGGACCTTCAGTCGGAATATTTTCAAATCACATTCCTCGCTATCAGACTCAGCGCTGAACCATGACTCAACTCACTTCATCAGAGAGAGCTCCTTCCACTGTCTCCTCCTTAGTGAGGAGAATCGGAACGCGTGGTTTGTACACATCTTTCTAATCGGTGTGTGATGGGATACCGCGAAGGGGATGATTCTTGGAAATTCATTCGGGGATGATAAGGGAAGCTCGTCGTCACAACTAGACGAGGCAGGGTAGCTCCTATTTCCTAACAGAGCGCGTAAGCGTCGCAGAATAGCCTCAGAAACTCGGTTCACTCCGAGACGGGGGGAGTAAGAAGTCAAGAGAGGATGCCTCTCAGCCGTATTCTGAGTGAGCGCTTTCTTTTCCGTCGAGCAGGTGCATGAAACAAGGCACGGTTCTTCTTCTGGCGCTCTTATGTCTGCATCGCGAACTCTTCGGGAAGCCGGGATGAGCTCAAGACGGAAGCGAATTGAGCGCCATCGACAAACTTCCGGCAACAAAACCGGGAGTCTCACTGAAGGTGTGGGAAGAAAGATCGTGGGCCAGCCATCGGTCAGCACAGAAAGGAGTGGAGCAGGTACACGATAGCCGAAGATTTCATATACACACATGGGAAGACAGGAAGGGGCGATAGGCGGAAACCTAAAGCAATGGAAAATAAGAGGGACTCCGAACGACTTCCCTCGCCGCCAGATGGAAGTCTTTGACACAATTGTGAAACCGACCGTTACATGGACAGCGAGGCTCGACCAACGACTGACAGTCTCCTTCACTGCTAACTCTCCACGTCCCCGCTCCATAATCCCAGATCATTTTGCCCCTGAACAATGGGAGCTAGGTTGACCACTGCTCCGCAAAGGCAGGATCTCAACCCCTTGTTTTTAGAATCCCTGTAGAGCCGGTTGTTTCCCTTCCTTCTAATCTTGGTCTCCGCGAATCTTCCAGTAGCTCGTCGAGATATGATTACTGAGCGATTATGAGCGCTGGCGAGCACGGTAGCCGACGGGGCTCATTGACGAAGATTCCACCGATTGAGATCAATGATTCTCCGGGGGATCAGCTGATCGGCTTCTCCAAGTGTCACTTGGCAATAGTCGTCGAAAGTGCGACTGAAACTTGGAACCTCGAGATGTGACATGGTTCAGAGGACTCACCGGCACAGCTTGGTTGTTTTCAGCAGAGGTGTCCTGTCCGAGCTCCGGATTCGTAGCACACTTTGTGCCAAACTGCTCAAACTCTCGATCGACCCGCTTGAAAATGTCAGATTCTGAGCGGGTCCGCCGTTGTCGAGTCCACCGACAACGACAACTTCCTCCTTTTGCCGCATGTAAGCCATATCGTGGCTCACGTGGAGGTCGAGCTCCGTTCAATCCCGCTGCTCCAGAGAGGCGATAAGGGATGTATTCCTTGAATCACTGCTTATCTTCGACACTAGAGTGAAAAAGTGGAACGTCGCTACGTTTCTAGACTCCGCCGAAGAGTCGCCGCCGCCGTCGTCGTCCTCCTCTTCCCTAGTGCGTGTGTGGGCTCAGCTGTCACCGCCGGACGAGGGAGGTCTTTAGCTCTTTGGGGCACGCTGAAGTCGAAGCTGTCACCACTGATTCACCTCTTCCGAGATTCTTCCAGCTCGGAGGTGTCATGACCGTGGGCCGGAATCGCCGACGATCTCCTCGGAGGTATTCGTCTTTCTTCTGCAGCGTTCTCAAGCGAGACAATCGCTGTCATCCGAGCTCCTTCCTGCTCGTAGCATCTTTCGAACGATGTTATCGCAATGAGCGAACTATGGAATAGCCATTAGAGGCAGAACGCTCGGCAGCGGGGAGGAACGGATAGCGAAACGCGAGGCGTATGAATCGCGCTTGGAGAATGCACGCATTCCTGAGATCGCGCGCTCAATCGCACTGCTCTCAGTCCGATCTCCCGCGATATGCCTTCCCAACGATCTTGTCCTTCGCGTGATAGAGTGCAAAGGAATTGCCGTGTCTACTCCAAATACATGAATGGAGTTTCTCCATCTATCCCACGGAGTTCTTGCGTGCTCAAAATTGAATTATGCGTTCTGAAACTTCTACTCGGGGAAATGAGGGCTTGCGAGGGTGAGATTCCCGCAGATCTTCCATCGATGCGTCGTATACAGAAAGAAGCACTTCCATAGACATCATCGAAAGCGATAAGATGTGCCTAGATCTCGTGTCTCCGAAGACTCTGTGGGATATCTGGGATTTATCGAGTTTCACTCTCTTAAGGTCGACCACCCTAATGAGGGGGCGGGCGCATCATTTATCCGTTTACACATCAGTCGAGTATTTGATTCATGTATTTTCTGCCTCAAGGGTCGAGCTTGTGAACAGCGATTCCGATGCGATTCTCCTGGTAGGCACTCGCAGTCCAGCTCTGAGTTCGTGCTACCTGGCTAAAAAACACGGAAGTCTCGCAGAAGTTTCGCGAGGAACAACTCGGAGATGGGAAGAACCTCAAATGCATATCAGATGCTCGCAGCGGCCCGCCACGCCCTGTGAAACTTGCTGATTTGTTCTCTAAGAGGACAGAACCCCGGCGTCTCATGATTCCATGAGATTACATATCGCTCCGCTCGTCAAACGGACAATTTATTCTTAGTCGTGCTACCCGCAAGGGACGGAGCGCCACCTCAAAAATAGAGAATAAACATTCACAGTGTCGTTCTAACGGATTCCGAACAGGGTCTCATGACGGTGATGATGTATTTCCCAGATCGTCGAGCAATCGGCGCATCAATCGCAATCACCTGCTACCAAGTCTTTCGGATCAGCTCCCTCGCAAACGGCGAAACACTTGTTTATGTACGTCTCTCCTTTCCAACAAACCGACTCCGTGTCGGTGATTCCGCAGGTACAGGGATTACTTCGATCTTCGGACAAGGAAGAGAAAAGAGAAAGGTGACATTTAGATCACAGAAGGCGCTGAGTTCGATTGTTATGCACAAGCTATCACGGATCTAAAACGTCAGAAGATGGCGCCAAGTCGGCCGATCGTTACATATGATCTGATGCGCAACCTACAGGGCAGGTTGGGAAGCGGATCAAAAAATTTGACGGAGTTACCCAACAAGGTATCGACGGCTCCCGGCTCTTGCTGCTCCATCACGAAACCCTGCACACAGAACGAAAGAACCAACACTTCGAGAAACATGCCCCTATCAAGAGAGAATCGTTCCGGAGACAAAAGCTACCAATGGCGGTCGAGACGACACTGATGAGGCTGACAGGGATGTTGCGTCGCCAAAACACTCCTTGTGACGGTTTTGCCGGCCTGTACTTTGCCTGGCGCCAATCAGGCTCCCGATCCCGATGCAGCAGTCTCAGCTGAGATTGTCAATTAATTGGTTGAGTAACGATTGGTCAATGAATGATTCACGGGAGACGAGCTGATTGCCAGCCTTGACCTACGGGACTGACACGGAGTTCCGGCAGCAAGTTCTGTCGTGGTGCCATTGTCAGGAGAAACAGCGATACGATTCATTGTTTCCGCGTCAGTGCTCACACGATCCTCAACGCGGCCGTAAGATGCGAGACCGTCGCGAGGGAGCTCACTCGGCGTCGAGATTTCTCCGACCCCATATCGAGGACGCTTTTCGTAACTTGATTCGAGATGCTCCCGCGCGCAGGAAGTTGTGGGCAGTCGAGGCGAAACTGGATTCATCCCTTACTTAGCGGATAAGCGCAGTCCGCTCGCCACACCGCGGATCTCTGACGGTTCCCAGGCTCAGGATATTCATACCCTCGGTCCGGAAGAGGCTTGTCGAATTCTTCAAACACAGTCATTATCTTTCAGAACTGGGATTCCGCGGAATCTTCCCTCAATGGTCTTGATTTAGCCCGGAGAAGCACACTCATGGCAGCCGCGATAGGGATAATCTCGAAACCAATCGAGACAGCCGACCTCAGCGCATTTAGGATGATTCCGCGTATCGGAGAAAAATCTCCGAGCCAGAGAATGTTGTTGCTGAATGGTCTAGCGCTACGTTTCCCCAACAAGATAGATGCGGGCGACAAGATGATAATCATTCAAGAGCTCCGCAGCCAACGGCGACTCAGGAGCGCATGCAGGGGTTTCCTGGGAAAGAGCAGTTTTGCCCCCCTCCTCGAAGAAGCTCTCTGGCAATGGTCCTCGCTAAGCGACTCATCTGATTCGAGAGGGGCAACCCTGCCATCGAACCTGCCCGATTGTATTGAGTGATGATGATTCATGAGGATGATATGAATCGACCACAAGTTTCATCAATCCGGTCACCAACTAGGCAATATGGATAGCTTTATGGCTCCTCCTCGGAGCTCGTTCCCCCGCGGACTCGCTCTGAGGAGACCCTGCGATCTCCATCGTACAGTCGAAGCTACCGAATCTTCCCGTCTGGCGACATCCGCGTCGAGAGCGACCGCGAGGGGTATCGTAGGATAGTCGGCTCACGAAGCTGTGTCGACGCGGAAAAACTTCGGTTAGGTCTCTTTAATACGTCCACCTTGATACAGCTCTATCGATATGAGATTTACAACCGCGAGAAGACTTCCGGCATATCGGAGGTGCTACTCGCTCTTCAGGGTTCATTCTCGTTTTCGAGGAATTTTCCCCCATGAGATCGAGTGACATTGTCATCTGTGAGTTCAGATGATTGATTATGGAGTCTTCATATTTACTCCTCCCGCGAAAACTGCATATCGAAATTCCGAAGGTCAGCGAGCGATCACCATACATGATGATGTAATAACATTCGTCAAGTTTGTTCCAAAGTTCCCCGACGCCGCTTCCCGTGCAGTACTGAAGAAAGCGGGCAGTCCTGGGGACCTGGAGAGAGCCGAGGTTCAAGCTCTGATATCTTCGAAATTCAATTCGCTGATACGCCATAATTTCCCATGTCCAGTTCGATCCAACGGTTTCCCCGAGCTCTGAGCCCTCCCCAGACAGTCGGACGAAGGTATCCCAACGCTTCCAGGGCGCATCCCAGATTGTCGCAGCCATTCCGGGCTCCGGAAAAAGACTGGAATGCCATCCCGGAAAGAAGATCACCATATGTCGTGGAGAAACTTCAAGATTCGTCCTAGGGTATGCACGGCGCTCGTCTCAGCGAGGCGAACGGGAACAGCATGAACTTAACATGGCGGATAGGTGGGTGGCAAGGGAACACAGTCGGCCAAGATGGTGGCCGTACGGGGAGGGAGAGAGCCTCGATCCGATGGGAACGAGTGACATTGTGAGGTGATCCATCGCGGATCTCCGGTAGGGAGCGCGATGAACTCGAGTTCCACACGTTCCAGACCTAAGCAGTACCCATCGGGTAGAAGTGCCCTGTGACCAGAGTTGAGAATCCGAAACCGATCCCCCTCTCTCCCTCAGCGTCGTCTGCTAGGCGGTCCTATGGCGTAGACGACGACAAGAGTAGCAGAGAGTAGAGAGTCTGTATAGTAGTGGTGGTGTGTTGGTAGTGTCTGTTGTTGGTGGTTGGTGTTGTATCACCTCTTCTCACAACACTCGTTTGACGTCGTCGTCGTTGTGTACGGCGACGCAAATGAAGAACGACCCCACGGCGACTCGTTGCCGAGAACATGAATGAGTAGGCTGACGGAAGCCCTCCCGTCTCGACAGTTGTTCGAACTCGGCTCTCGGCCATCGCACGTGAACTGTTTTTGTTGAGCTCCCATTCACCCCTCGGGACGAATGGCAGTAGCAGCAGCGGGAACCCCATTCACAAGAGTTTGAACAGTGCTGCTCAGTGATTGTTGTCGTCGTCGTCGTGGCCACCATTGTCGACGACCGACGTTGACTTTTGAGGTTTGTGAAACGCCGTGGAAGCTTCCGAGGGGCAACGAATCGGTGTTGTGCTTCGGAACGAGTAGGTGGGCCAACGGCATCAGCATCGACCCCAGATAGTACAGATGTTGGCATAAGTTCGTGGAGTTTACTTTGATTGAGTGGCCGACAGAAGCGAGCCGTTCCAAGATGGATTTCCGGTCGGCAGGTCGTCAGTCGTCCGTTTCCATACTGCTCTAGGTGAGTGGCGATACCCCTTCGTAGTCAACTTGTTGCTTAGCGAGAATATCCGACACCTATAGGGGTTCATGGTCGTAGCCGCGGCTCGGAGCAGCTGCTCTGTCGTCGTTCACGAGGAACAAGACGCTCAGGTGACGCTGAACTCTACGCGAGTTCTCAAGCAGACGCACGTCGACGTCGAGCATTTCAGTTTCGGGAATTTGTGACAGTTTATTGTTGACATTTCCACCCCGGTTTCCGGTGGTGGCGGTGGCGACGCACGGTGCTGCTCATCGAGTAGAAGGGTTTTCAACGGGACGAGTTCATGTCCAC